TAAAGTCTGGATCCATTCGAAATTCTAACTTACCTAAAATTTCGGCCGGGGGTTCTTGCCAAAACTCCTTACTAGATGTCTTATATGAACTAATTACTTCGATTAAAAAAGATCGTATAGAATCAGAGGAGTCCATATGTGAATCAGAAAAGCTCTTTGCTCTTAATTCACTTTGCTAAGCTAGAATATCTAGTTAACAAGGAAAAAGGGATCAGAGGTTTTTATTAATCTCAATTAATTTAGCTTTGAAAATAAGAGTATCATACAATATTTTTTCAAGCTCCTTATAGCTCATGCATTTTTTTTTAATACATTATTATATCTATTTAACTCCTGTAAGTTCTGTGATATGTTATCCAGAGTCGAGAAATCATCACAATTCGGAGTTATGTTTGCACAATTTACCTCAAGCTTGTTCTTGACCTTATGCATAGTAACTGGGATAATATAATCTTTTCCATTAAGAGGAATTTTTAGCTCATTGGTTTTCCAATCCAATGCACAATTGTATTTTTTCAAAAGCTGATTAGAAAATATTAACGTTGGCTTCTGATATTTCACAACAATAAAATCTTCATGATAGTACAGCCTGGGGCTAAAGTAATGGGTAATTTGCGAACAACTCCAACAGATTCAACCAGAACAGTGGCAACACCACTAAGATCGTGTGTTTCAGATTTATCAATTTTAGCTTCCACACGTATAACAATATTTTCAGTTATAATGGGAGGTTCAGCCCCAGAGTTCACTGTTATGGCTGGAATCTTTAAACGCTTAATTTTACACTTTACAGTTGTGACACTTGTTTTTGGCTCCTTCTTCTTAACGAAATTAATCTCCATCGGACTATCCAAATCTTCTTCCTCATCTAGATCTAGCGATACAACCTCGGTGATTAGAGAAGTATTGCTTGGAGATTCTATCTTTTCCTAGATTAGAGGCACTTGATTCAGTATATTAGCTTTAATAGGGTCTTGGGATAAATGATCAGGAAAAATTAATTTAAGTTCACTTTGGAGAACTTTACGAATAGTTTCCTTCAATGAAGTTTTAGATGTCTTTTTAAGGGACGATTTCTTGAAACTAGAGTCTTGCTTCACTTTTTTTTTGACTTAGCTATATTAACGGTGATATCACCTCCAGAATCGGAGAAATCCTCTGAACTTGTATCAGAGTCAGAACTATCACTAGAAGAAGTATCAGAAGAAGTACCTGAATCCGAATTCGAATCTACGGTAGCGATATTAACTTTACCCTTTTTAGACTTCTTACTTCTCTTTTTCTTCTTTCGAGGGCAGTTTCAAGAATTATGTTTAGATCTTCTGCAGGTGGAGCATTTGTGACCTGATGATTTCTTAACAGCACGTCTAACAGCAGTTTTTATAACACTATTTAATGTTAATCCTGCTAAACTATCTGAAATATCTTCTATAAGATCATGATCATATTTATCGGCAGAGTGTTTACCTAGATTTTTTCTTAGTAAGTCACTCAAAAAGCGATTAATAGCAGTATCTTCTGCTCTTTTCTTAGATGATTTTTTACTATTGTCTAGAGTTTTAGTCGCTCGAGACATAGTCTCTTGAAAGGATTTAATGGTAGACTGCAAATCAGCATTTTGTTGAGCCATTTGAGACTCTGAGGATGCCATTGCAGTTTTTATCAAATTCACGATTTTAGTTTTAGTTATTCCTGATTTGTTAGTGTCTATGTAGAGATTGGCTGCCAGAAAAGCAGGAAGAGAAGATGATGCATTTCTTTGAGAAAGTGTAAATTTTTCTACTTCAGCTAAGGCTTTTGTGATATTTTCCTGAGTATCCTCAAATTTAGCCATCATTCGAATATTATATTGGTTCATAGGATTTAAGCCACAAATAAATTGCTTTCTTTGTTGTTCGGGTATCATTCCGGCCAATTTACCAACCTTTTTGATTTGAGTAGAGAACTCTTCAACACCCATATCTCCTTGTATGAGTTGACCAAAAACTGCCATTTGTTTTAAGTGTTCAACCATCATATAAGAAGTACTAAATAGATAAAGAAGTTGCCCAAGCTTAATACCAGGAGCAATTGTAATAGCAGAGAAACCTCCGCCAGCATTTGGTACAACTGGTGCATTATCTGTAGGTTCACCACCGGCTATAGACCAGTCTTCATTCCATGTTCCATTCAGAATAATATCAGCACCAGTTGTGACACCTGCTCCAATTCTACCAATTTTTGCTCCAGCTTTGTTACAAAATTCTCCTGCAGTATTCAAACCACCAATCTGATTACTACCATTTCCAGCACCTATTGCTCGAACAGCAGTTAAAGTAGCTACACCTAAGTTATCTGAGAGATTATTACATCTCCAATTTTTGCCCTTAATGCGGGTATTATACCAATTCAATGCAGGGCCCGCAAGACATGATATTACCAATCCAAATGCCTCTTCTCTTCCAGCGACCTGACCTGCACCAGGTGCAACATTTATTCGACTAGCTACTATATATCTTTGCATCTCTCTGAGCCAATCCTCTGGATCTTCTCCAGGATGACTATGAAATATTGGAGGTCCGTATCCTACTATTCCTATTCGTTGTATATTAGGTGGGTTATTCTGTAGCGCAAGATTTAAATTTAAAATATTCTGGCGTTTTGCATAGGTCTTATTTTTCTATTTTTCATATCACTCATAGAGTCTGTCTCTATTATATTCTAACAAACCTCTATCGGCTTTGCATCACTGTAGATGGTGGGCATTTCGTCGATATAAGATTTGTAAGGCAAAATTTTCACATAGCAATTCACTAATACGAGTTTGTTTTCTTACCAAATTATCTATTATTCTATTTACTTGGTTTTGTGCATTAGTCCGTAATTGATGAAGATCAAGCAATGCCTGATCTTGCTCCTGTCTATATATATCCCGGTTCCATTGTTCGTTTACCAGATCTTGTTGCAGGTTAGTGTATTTACATCAAATTGCCCTTGTTGATCTTTTAATAAATGGTTCTATATATTATTTAGAGATCGGTCTTTAGCATCGGCCAATTCAGCTATTGTACCCATATTATCATCAGAATTATACAAGTCTAGAGAATTTTCATCAGAATCA